CCTAGCACCCAAAGATCTAATTTCTTCTTCTACAAAAAGGTAATTACCATGAGTTATTTGCAAACTGTGTATTGTTATAAAAGATATATATATATATATATATATATATATATATATATATATTCATGTATGGCACACAGAATATCATTTGTTTGACACTGGCTATGTTGAGGATTATTCTTTTGGAGTACTTCCTTCCTTTCTTTTTTTCAGATTGATGAAGTTGCTAACATTAATGACATGGATGAATACATTGAGTTACTCTATGAAGATATTCCTGACAAGGTTCGGGGCTCTGCTTTGATCCTACAGCTTGCTCGAAATCCTGATAACTTGGAAGAACTACTATTGAATGGTGACTTATATCTATAAATATTAAAAATAGAAGAATTATTGTAAAATATGGTTTAAAATTTATTATAAATGAGGAAGCTAAAATTATATCAAATATCAGGTACACTTATTTTTCAACTTTTCACTACCTTTTTTGGCACTCAAATTTCCTAACATGAGAACATAACATTGAAATATGCCCTGAAGAAGTCATAGATTATTCAGTTGAAACAAGGTAAAACAGGCATTAATGGTAAAGTATCTTTCCTCCTACTCTGAAAGATTTTTATTTTTTCAATTAGGATATAGTATCAAACTTATGGCATTGTGCAAGTATGTATATGCTTTTGTTAAGTTAGTTGGAGTTACTATATTAGTTTTCTTTTAGTAGCACAACAAAAGTAAACTTTTAATGTCATTCAGATTCCATTTGAATCAAAGTATTTTCTTTCATTAGAGTGCTAGTTAATAAAGAAAAAGGAGATAGAATGCTCTTAAAAAGCCTTTCCGTGGTATTATCACTAAAGAATTATTTTAAATACATAGTTTTCTTACACTGTTCTCAAAAATAAAATAGGTAAGGTGTCATTATTATTTGATATCTCTCTCATATAAAAGAGTGCTTTTTGCATGTATACACAGAAACAGATCCTACAGAAATACAAGTAATAATTTAAGGGATTTTGCCAAATTACCCTCCAAAATGGTCATACCATTTCATCTTAATACTAATAGAATATGAAAGCTGTAGAATTTTAAAATGTTTGCCATTATGATGTTGGTAATAAACAACATCTCTTTTTTTTTTTTGGTTTCATTAGCCTGATTTCTAATGAATTTGAGCATTTTCTTATGTCATTAGACTTTGGACTTCCTGCCACTAAAGTATATTTTAAGTATCCGTGTGTGTGTGTGTGTGTGTGTGTGTGTGTGTATCTATAAATCTGTATCCTTTTTCTTGTGTATGTGTATAATTAGTATATAAATATTGGATATATATTCTTTTACTTTCATGTGCTTAGAAATAGTTTCAATCTATTACTTGTCTTATTTTTTTGTATGATATATATTTTTTCCATCCATTTGCTTTCACCCTACTTGCATCTTTAACTCTATAATAAAATGTTTCCTTTGTAATCATTGATTGCCTGAGGGCAGGACAAGAGGGAGGGGATGAAAAGGAAGTATTAAAGAGTTATGAGAAAAAAATAATGTGTAGGTTTTGTAAATCCATTCTGCCCATTTCTGTCTTTCAGTTGGTGTGTTTAGTCTATTTACCATTAATGCAGTTACTCATAAAGTAGCATTGTTAGCTAACATTTTCTGTTTATTCTTTTTATGTCTTTTATCTTTTTTGGTCCTCTATAACTTACTTTCATGTTAAATAAATGTTTTCTATTAAATTAATCCTCCTACTGTTGTTTTATTATGTTTTCCTGAGTCACTTTCTTAGTGATTACCCTCGCATTATTGTTACCATCTTAATTTAAAATAGTCTAGTTCAAATTAATACCACCTTAATTTTACAGTATTTAAAATACTTTGCTTTGGGCCTCCCCGGTGGTGCAGCAGTTGAGCGCTGGGTTGCGAAGCTGCCCGCAGCCTCTGCAGCGCCCGTTCGATCCCTTGCCGCCGGCGAGGGTCCCACATGGCGTGACAGACCTGTCCTGCTGCCCGCTGCTCCCCTCAGCATTGTATTTCTTTGGTCTGCCTGTTCTGTTCCCTGCTCTGGCTCTCGTGAATTCTCTCACCCTCCCATGCTTCTGACTGTACCCAGTGCTTGTATAAATAAATAAATTAATCTTAAAAAATAAATAAATAAAATACTTTGCTTTAATATGCCATTATTACCTCCCCACTTCTTTGTACTATTGTGCAATAGCCTCAGCTCCATCAATATAGTTATTATAATTACTCATGTATGTTTTAAAAAATCATATAGAAGAATAGTACAATCAGAAATACATTTAATTGTATATTTTATATTAATCGATATAGTTATCTTTACCAGTACTATTTTTGTGTGGATTTAAATTACTCTCTAGTGTCCTTTCTTTTTTTTTTTTTTAAAGATTAATATGTTTATACAAGCACTGGGTACAGTCAGAAGCGTGGGAGGGGGAGAGAACTCACCAGAGCCAGAGCTGGGAACAGAACAGGCAGAGTGAAGAAATACACTACTGAGGGGAGCAGCGGGCGCAGCAGGAGAGGTCCTTGCGCCATGTGGGACCCTCACCCTCAGCCGCTGGGGATCGAACCGGCGCAGTAGAGGCTGCGGGCAGCCTCGCAACCCAGTGCTCAACCGCTTGCACCAGCGGGGAGGCCCTAGTGTTCTTTCATTTTATACTGAAGGCCTCATTTTAGAATCTCATAGGATTCTTTACTTAGGAATGGCTTAATTTCTTGTCATTGGTTAAAGTATAGTTTTACTGGATATTATATACATATATATAGGATATAGAATTGGATATATATATATATATACACACACATACTGGATGTAGAATTCTTGGTTGAATCTTTTTCTTTTAGCACTCTGTGTCACTTCACTGGCTTCATGTCTCTGGTTTAAGATGTAAAATCAGCTATTAATCTTATCGAGGATCCTTGTATATGTTGAGATGCTTTTCTCTTGCAACTTTCAACATTTTCTTTGCCTTTGCATTTTGCCAATTTGACTATAATTTATTTAGATGTGATATCTTTGAGGCTTTATTGCTTAAAGTTTGTGGAACTTCTTGTATATGAGATTAATATTTTGCATCAAAACTTGGTAATCATTTGGTCATTTTTTTGTTAAATATTTATGTCACTCTCTTCTCTCTCTCCTCCCTTCTTGATCTCCCATTATGTTTAGTTAGTGTGTTTGATAGTGTTTCACAGGTGTTTGAGGATCTGTTTGTTTTTTATTCTTATTTTCTTCAGGCTAGATAATCTTAATTGAATTGACCTGTCTTTATGTTCATTGGTTCTGTTTCACAGAACAGTTTACTATTAAGACCTAATGATTTTTCTTAATTTATGTTTAGTTTTATTTATGTATATATATTAAGGTAACTGGTTTACAACACTGCACCTACCACCAAGGCACCCATAATCCTTGAACATAATCCATTGTGCCTGGTCTTCCCTTTTCTCTCCATCTTCTCTTCCTACTCTCAATTTTACAGTCAGATACCTAGAGTTTGTTTTTGTTTTGATGTTGTGTGACTATTTTTTGTTTCAGTTATTTGGTTCATTTTTTCATAATTTGTATTCCTTAATTGATATTCTTTCTTTGTGAGACATTCTCAAGCCTCATGCTTTCTTTTAATTCTTTAGAATGGTTTCTTTTAGTTCTGTGAATAAATTTATTACAGCTGATTTTAAATCTGTCTCATAAGTTCAATAAATGAGCTTCCTCATGGACAGTTTCTATCAACTGCTGTATCTCTCAAGGATGGGAAATACTGTCCTGTTTCTTTACATGTCTTTTATTTGTTGTTGAAATAATATCATTGCAACTGTGGAAATAAGATTCCCAATGTGCCCCACCCCCTTTAAGCTTCAGGACTTGTTATATTTGTTGGTTGTTTAGTGAGTTTCCTAGATTAATTTTTGTCTTTGCATCCTCTGAAGCTGCTGCTCAGTTAGTTTAGTGGTAGCTACTGATTAGATAGAATTTTCCTAAATATATGCCCTAGTCTTTGCTGAGGTGCTCTCTATATGTGTGTGTATTCAGTCATGTCTTCATTGTTCAAACAAATGGTTTATAAGCCTTTGCCTTCACTGCCTGCTTGCATATTGCCTCAAGATTGGCCATATATGAGAGAATAGGTCCTTCCCTTGTATGTGCACATGCCTCTACAGGTGCAGGGTCTTCTATATTCCCAAGAGTATGTTGGAACTTTTCAAAGAGCCTGTGAATATCTTATTTCCTAGTTTTTCCCTTTTTTGTTAACTTCAGCTTCTCAGACTCCATTCACAGCTGCAATGTTGCCACCAATAATTTTCAACAAATGCCCTGGTAATAAGGCTATTCTTACAGAGCAAGTTCTCAGATCACATAAAGCATATGTCAGGCATGGAACTTTTTTTTTTTTTTTAAGATTTCATATATATTTTACTTGTTTTTTGTTTGTTTGTTTGTTTTTTTATTGAGGTAATGTAGTTTGTATTTTGGGAGAATAGCTGTCCCAGCAAACTTTCAGGTACATCAGATAGTAACAGTTCTCTAGAATGGGGATTTTAAGGAATGTCAAAATCCAGTCCCTGGAAGACTGTTGTTTGTTATGATATAATAGTTGTGATGCTATTGGTTTTCAAGACTATCAGAATTGCACAGAGGGAATAGAATTTGGGCATGCTGAAATACTGCAGAATTCACTGTTCTTACCAAGACTCATTCAGCAATACTTGTTATATGAATACTCCTTGAAATTAGTTAATTTCTAAGGTTGCAAAAAAGTTGATTTTTCAGTGCTTACTAGTATTCTCATTTTCTTGTGAAAGGGAGGGTTTTTGGAGGGCTTTAGTTTGCCATTCCCAAAGTGCTTGGCCCAGGATTCATTTTTGTTGAAAGTGAGAGAGATGAAATTTTATTTTTTTCCATAATAGGTATCCAGTTATTCCAGCCTAGTTAGTAAACACTCTCCCTTTTCCCAAATATTTGAATAAGTGTCTTTTTCAGCTTTGCGCAGTGGCAGTATCGTAGCCAATGAGGTTTATCCGAGGCGCGATTATTGCTAATTGAGTAAGTGTCTTTTTCTACTATATGCCTACCATTTTTATATTCTTTGAGCACTCTTGAAAGCTTATTCTGTGCCAAGTACTATCTCTGTATATTCGTAGATATGTTCTGGTGCTTTTTTTGCTTTTCCTTTGATTTATTTGGTGATTCCCATACCAGTATCATACTGTTTGTTGTTATGTTTTGATTTTGTATTTTGACTGAAACTATAGTATGTAGGAGAAATGCTCCATTTTGTTATTTCAGATTGCCTCTGCTAATCGTGCACATTTTCTTACATAATCTTTTGAGATCACCTTATTACTCTCTAAAATGTTTATCAATGGGATTTTTAAGTGTGATTGTATTCAACTTATACATTAATTTTGGGTTACATTTTGACTTTTCTAAACTGCAGTTTTCTTTTGCTTAATGACAGCCCACGTATAAATTCTGTAACTGTATTTTTATTGAGATATTTCTCTATACTAAAGGAGAAAAATGAAATAGAATTTGAAATATAGCTTGCTAAATTATGCTAAATTCATGATATTACTAAACATCTTTCTTCAAAATACATTCTAAGAAATACTATTTTCTCTTGATTGTTGTGGTAAATGTCTTTGGGAAATCTGAATTCAACAAAGGTAGATCAAATTCTTTATAAAGTAAGAGCTTTTGTAGCCTTTGCTTATTAATGTGCTTTACCTATTTACATGGCTTCAAAATAATTTTGTTAGAAGCATATACCAGTGTTTTGCACTGTTAGTGTGAATAACATTGTGAAATGCTATTATAGGATGTTTCTTATCTTAGTTTGTTTAAAAAATTCCTTACTAAATGGATAATAATATTATGAACTCTATTTCATAATCTGAATGACCAGAAAGCTCAAATAAACTAAACATTTTCACTACCTTAGTAAATACTGATAATACAGTCCATGAAGTGTAAAAGGTTGAGTGCCTACTAAAGAAAGTTTAATTATGATCTCTATAATCTCACAAATGTTATATTTTTTATTATTTTAAGAATTAGCCCTGTAACAACACTAATTTGAAATGAATTATGATACTCTGTGTTTACTTAATATGGTAATTCTTGTTAATTCATTAATTTTTACCTTTTTTCAAGTAAAAATATTTATTAACCTACCCTGAAGCTAATTTTGTGAAAGATTTTTTGTTCTATTTATGTCTGTTGGCATCAGCTTAGCATAATATTAAAATATTAGGCTGATTTTCTGTGTATAAGTTTTATTTAGTTATTAATTTGCTTTAATGGAGTCTGTATTAGCTTTCTAAACTGCTCATTATTTATTTAGACTTAATTTAATGTTTATCTTTATTCACAAACATGTAAGTCAGATGTCAAAAAGGAACGGGAAATGCAAATCAAGAAGTAAATAATCTTTTTATTAATTCCTTGTAACCTATAATATACATTTTATGTTTATCTAAATCACTTTTTTCTTTTCATAGTTCTAGACTTAAAACTACATGTTACTAGTTTTTAAGTAAAAGTTGTATTTCAGTTTGAAATATAACTGTTGTAGAAAGAAGCATCCTTCTTTTTTTGTCCTAATTCTATCTTTGTTTTATTACTTATTAATAAGTAGACATTTAAAACCAATCACCCTTTACACCAGAGGCAAGGTGAATGACCATTTTTTATGTCACCTCTGTCTTTAGAAACTGCCCTTGGTGCATTAGCAAGAGTCCTAAGAGAAGACTGGAAGCAAAGTGTTGAATTAGCAACAAACATAATTTACATCTTTTTTTGCTTTTCCAGGTAAGTATAAAAATTAGGAAATAAAAATATAAGTCTTAGCTCTATTTTTCTCTGCTGTGTTATTGGTTTAGATTCTAGATCACCGGTTTGCTCAGTTTTTCTGTGTGTCTGCCATGTACTACCTCTGAATTTTTATTCTATTTCCTATTTTCTTCTCTATTATTCTTTCTTTCACTCCATACTCACCATGCATGTTGATGCATACACATATATGGAGTGGTATAATATAATGGTTTAGAGTTTAAAAGCATGGGCTCTAGAAGTAGGCTGTCTTAGATTTGAATCCAAGTCCTGTTGTTTATTAGGTGTGTGATTCTGGTTATATTTCTTAACTTCTCTGTGTCTCAGTTACCTCTGCTAAAGTCTATGGATAATAGTAAGCACCCTCTTCTGATGGGTTTCAGAATAAAGTCTGATCAAGAATAAGTGCCAGTAAATATTACTGTTTTCTATAAATATACATACAGATACATAAATGCGTATGTATACGCAAATACATACCTGATATGTATTCATATATATTCTTTAGAAAGATGTTTAATGAGACATTGTGAACTTTCTAGCCAAGTAGAGAAATGCTTGACTCTATTCTAAAAATGTGCCAGCATTTGCTAATAAATATTTACTGAAAAATAGAGATGGCACAATTTCAAGTCATCCTAGCATATTGTGGGTATATTCATTTATTAAAATAAATATCAAATTTATTTTCCACATTGTTTATACCAGTGTTTAAACACGTTTCCTAAACCCCCCCAAAAATGTATTCTTCTAGATATATACTAAAATTTCTTCTTTGTAGCTTTTCTCAGTTTCATGGACTTATCACTCACTATAAAATTGGAGCTTTATGTATGAATATTATTGATCATGAATTAAAAAGACATGAGCTTTGGCAAGAAGAGCTTTCTAAGAAGAAGAAAGCTGATATCCTTTTAGAGTGGCACTTCTTCCTACTTTGTTGCCTATTACTATGAGTTTGGATGGATGGGCTGGTTTTTTTTTTTTTCTCTTCCATTCACATTATGTGGGAAAAAGTTATGAGTATATTGTAGGTTATAATGAAGATTGAAACTATCAGAATTAATGTAGTTTGACATATAATATTTATATATTTATAATTTTGATTAGTTGGTAAGATAGAGGGTACAAACATTTGTGATCCTGGATTACTGAATTGATAAATTTCTACACTATTATGCTCCATAATATCCATTTGGTTGGCTAGTTTGCTCCATCATTGTTCCTTATGTAGTTCTAGCTATATATATAAAATAAGATGACTTGATTGGAATGGGTGTAAACTTAGTGATGAATCTAGTTTTAAATTCTGTTTTTCTAAATAGTACATACAGATTTTAGGGGTCTGCAGAATAACAGAACCTGTGAAAGGAGCCTTAAAAATTATCCATTTTAACCTATCCTTCAATACAGTAATGTTTCTTAGAACTTCTCTTAGAAATGGGTTAGTTTCTTGCTTAACAGTGTCACTGCTTATTGATTTAGCCCATGCTATGGTTTGTTTGACATTCTGTTTATTATAATCTTCTTTTGCTTAGGGAACTAAAGTCCACTTCCCAATAATTTCTATCTCTTCATTCTAATCTGGTATACTGAAGCTATATAAGATATTCTCTTCAATATCACATCTTATGTTTGAAGATATTTTGCATCTACAACTTAATTCTTCTAGATTGAAGGCCCCAGCTTATTGATACCTGCCTTTTTGTGACTTGTTTTACAAATCAGCAAGCCATGCTGGTAACTTTTCTTTGAACCTAATATATTCTTTTTAATTAATTTATTTTTAATCAAGATAATATTTGGATACTCCCATCAGGTGTTACCACTGTAGTGCACCTACCACCAAATCACCCATAGTCCACTGTGATTCCCTCCTCCTTTGTTCTTACCCCTCCCCCTCCACCCTCTTCCCACCCGTATTGGTGCCTCAGTTCCATAGATAGCTATCCAGGGCTGGTTTTAAGCTTGTCTTTATCTGACTCAGTTTAGTTACTTTATATTCCACATATCAGACACCATCTGTTATTTATCTTTCTCCTCTGATTTATTTCACGTAGCATTATCCCTTCTAGCTCCATCCCTGTTGCTACAAATGACATGCCTTCTTTTTTTTTTTTAAAAGATTTATTTATTTATTTATTTATTTATTTGTTTGTTTGTTTGTTTGTTTATTTATTTATACAAGCACTGGGTACAGTCAGAAGCAGGGAGGGTGAGAGAATTCACCAGAGCCACAGCAGGGAGCAGAGCAGGCAGAAGGACCAAAGTACACTGCTGAGGGGAGCAGCAGGCGCCAGGAGAGGTCTGCGCGCCATGTGGGACCCTCTTCCGGTGGCGCGGAAGCAGCCAGGGATCGAACCAGCGCTGCAGAGGCTGCGGGCAGCTTCGCAACCCAGCACTCAACCACTGTGCCACCGGGGAGGCCTGACATGCCTTCTTTAGAGTCCCATTTGCTTCTAGGATTGTTTACCTGTACTGTACTTTGAGCCTGTTTGTCTTTGGAGTTTAGGTTTGTCTCCTGGAGACAGCAGAAGGTTGGATTCTGTTTCCAGATCCAACTAGATATTCTGTGTCTTTTAATTGGTGCAGTCCATTTATGTTTAAAGTGATTATTGATAAGTGATAGTCTGTTGGCTACCATTTTATTTTTAATTTTTCTGGGTCAAGCTATTTCCTTATTCAGTACTTTGTATATGTTTCTCTCTTCAGTTTAATTGTGTAAACTACTTTCAGTATTTCTTGGAGGGGTGGTTTAGTGTTTGTAAACTCCACAAGTTTGTGTATGTCTAAAAAGCTAAAAAGGTTTTTATTCCTTTTTCATATCTGAAGGAGAGTATTGCAGGATACAGTATTCTCAGCTGACAATTTTTATCTGCAGGTATTTGAAATACAGCATTCCGTTCTCTCCTTGTTATGTTTCTTCAGAGAATTTTGATGTTAGTCTGATTGGGGTACCTTTGTAGGTTATCTGCTTCTTGCCCCTTGCCAGCCTAAATATTATTTCTTTATTCTGAACTGTTGAAAGTTTTATTACTATATGTCTTGGTGTCAGTCTCACTTTATTTAGGTATACCACAATTCTTTTAGCTTCGTGTATTTGTACATTTATTCCCTTCTCTAGGTTTTCCCCCTCTGGTATTTCCATTATTTTTATGTTGCCTTTTCTTATGGAGTCAGATAATTCCCAGAGTGGAATTATCCACAAATTCTTTTTTTTTTTTTACTTTGTTTGTCTCTTCCCTTCTCTACCTGTGTTCTTTGTACAGTTGCATTAGACTATTGATC